AGTGGCTGTATCAATTTACATTCCCACCAACAGTGCAAGAGTGTTCCCTTTTCTCCACACCCTCTCCAGCATTTATTGTTTCTAGATTTTTTGATGATGGCCATTCTGACTGGTGTGAGATGATACCTCATTATAGTTTTGATTTGCATTTCTCTAATGATTAATGATGTTGAGCATTCTTTCATGTGTTTGTTGGCAATCTGTATATCTTCTTTGGAGAAATGTCTATTTAGGTCTTCTGTCCATTTTTGGATTCGGTTGTTTGTTGTTTTGATATTGAGCTGCTTGTAAATTTTGGAGATTAATCCTTTGTCAGTTGCTTCGTTTGCAAATATTTTCGCACATTCTGAGGGTGGTCTTTTCATCTTGTTTATGGTTTCCTTTCCAGTGCTTAGATTAGATCAAATCTTGGGTCACAAATCAAGCCTTGGTAAATTTAAGAAAACTGAAATCGTATCAAGTATCTTTTCTGACCACAACGCTATGAGACTAGATATCAATTACAGGAAAAAAATCTGGAAAAGAATCAACATTGATTGAATCAAGATTGTGAAAATGACTATACTACCCAAAGCAATCTACAGATTCAATGCAAGCCCTATCAAACTACCACTGGCATTTTTCACAGAACTAGAACAAAAAGTTTCACAATTGGAAACACAAAAGACCCTGAATAGCCAAAGTAATCTTGAGAAAGAAAACGGAGCTGGAGGAATCAGGCTCCCTGACTTCAGACTATACCACAAAGCTACAGTAATCAAGACAATATGGTACTGGCACAAAAACAGAAATATAGATCAATGCAACAGTATAGAAAGGCCAGAGTTAAACCAATGCAACTATGGTCACCTTATCTTTGGTTAATGAGGCAAGAATATACAATGCAGAAAAGACAGCCTCCTCAAAAAGTGGTGCTGGGAAAACTGGACAGCTACATGAAGAGAATGAAATTAGAACACTCCCTAACACCATACACAAAAATAAACTCAAAATGGATAAAAGACCTAAGTGTAAGGCCAGACAGTATAAAACTCTTAGAGGAAAACATAGGCAGAACACTCTATGACATAAATCACAGCAAGATCCTTTTTGACCCACCTCATAGAGAAATGGAAATAAAAACAAAAATAAAAAAATTGGACCTAATGAAAATTAAAAGCTTTTGCACTGGAAAGGAAACCATAAACAAGATAACCCTCAGAATGGGAGATAATATTTGCAGATGAAGCAACTGACAAAGGATTAATCTCCAAAACATACAAGTAGCTCATGCAGCTCAATATCAAAACAACAAACAATGCAATCCAAAAATCGGTGGAAGATCTAAGCAGACATTTCTCCAAAGAAGACATACAGATTGCCAACAAACACATGAAAGGATGTTTAACATCACTAATCATTTGAGAAATGCAAATCAAAACTACAATGAGGTATCACCTCACACCAGTCAGAATGGCCATCATCAAAAAATCTAGAAACAATAAATGCTGGAGAGGGTGTGGAGAAAAGAGAATCCTCTTGCACTGTTGGTGGGAATGTAAATTGATACAGCCACTATGGAGAACAGTTTGGAGGTTCCTTAAAAAACTAAAAATAGAACTACCGTATGACCCAACGATCCCACTACTGGGCATATACCAGTATATGAGAAAACCATAATTCAAAAAGAGTCATGTACCACAATGTTCATTGCAGCTCTATTTACAATAGCCAGGACATGGAAGCAACCTACGTGCCCATCAACAGATGAATGGATAAAGAAGATGTGGCACATATATACAATGGAATATTACTCAGCCATAAAAAGAAACAACATTGAGTTATTTGTAGTGAGGTGGATGGACCTAGAGTCTGTCATACAGAGTGAAGTAAGTCAGAAAGAGAAAAACAAATACCTTATGCTAACACATATATATGGAATCCAAAAAAAAAAAAATGGTTCTGACAAACCTAGGGGCAGGACAGGAATAAATACGCAGATGTAGCGAAGGGACTTGAGGACACGGGGAGGGGGAAGTGTAAGCTGGGACGAAGTGAGAGAGTGGCATGGGCATATATACACTACCAAACGTAAGGCAGATAGCTGGTGGGAAGCAGCCACATAGCACAGGGAGATCAGCTTGGTGCTTTGCAACCACCTAGAGGGGTGGGATAGGGAGGGTAGGAGGGAGACACAAGAGGGAGGAGATATTGGGATATATGTATATGTATAGCTGATTCACTTTGTTTTAAAGCAGAAACTAACACACCATTGTAAAGTAATTATACTCCAATAAAGTTGTTAAAAAAAAATGCTAGGCCTAAATAACTTTGCAGGTGATTTCCAATAAATATTCAAGGAGCCAGTAATTTCCAAATCTTATACATTTTAGAATGCTCCTTAACTCATTCTATAAGAATTAGCGTAACCCTATTGACAAACTAGATAATAGCACCTAATAGATCCAATAATATCACATATCTAATATAGGTGTACATACCAATCACATCTTTAGAGATAGATGTAAAATTCTCATAAAACATTAGGAACTTACATAGCAATGTATTACACAGCAACAAGACCAAGTCGAATTTATTCCAGAAATTCAAAGAGAAATATTTATATAATTCACTGGAATTACAGATTAAAAGAAGAAACAAGGCAATTATCTCAGTGATGCAGAAAATATTCACTATAATTCAACCTACATCCCTAGGAAACAAAACACCTAAGAAGCCAGGAACTGAGGAAAAAAGTGTACCACCTCAATAAAGAATATCAACAAGAACAATATAGCAAACATTATACTTAATGATTAAACATTAAAACAATTTTAATACTGTTCATAAATAGAAAATAATGCCCACTATCACCACTAATATTAATTATTAAACTTCAATTCACTTACAATTCAAAAACACTACAGAAATGAGAAAGTATATAAAGGTGGGAAAACTGGAGGAAAAAAAGTCATTATTCTCAGATATTGAGAAGATATACCCAAAATGCTATAAGGAATTCACTGAAACATTGTTGAAAATAGTAAAAGAATTCAACTTGGTGGTAACATATAAAATCAAATTACATGCATCATTTTTTTCTATACACCACCAATATTCATGGAGAAAATATAATAAGTGCTATTTTAGGCAAAATGAAAGAGCACAGATCATGACGTAAAGTCCTGATTTAAACATGCACATGCATTGCTTCTTGCAAATATACACTTCAGTGCATATCAGAACTCACAAGAAGGGAAGGGAAAGCCTCAGGACCAAGAACAAACATAAAGCAGAAAACCAGAGAATTGAATACTCCTCCATCAGTGGAAGGGTAAACTGGATAAAAATCATCCCACAGCAAAGATCACAATGAAATTGTTTGCCTCAACCTGAGCTTTGAGTGGAAAAAAAATCATCTCTTCTGAGAATTCAAAACCCTGACAGGAGTTTGCATTGCCTACATGAAATGGGAAACTCCAAAGGGAAAAATTAACTAAGAGTAATTCAGGGTTAATAATGACTTACGATGCCTGGAAGAAACAAATATTTGCCTTCTCTGAAGGAACGCACACTGAACCTGAGCCTTCCAAGATTTCCACATAGGTAGCTGAACATAAATTCATAATTCAAAATTCAAAATTCATGAAGAAACCAGCCATTATTAGCAAGAATCAAAAGAAACAACCAAAGCATAACAGACTCTCAAGGACCTGAACACTGGAGTAATCATATACAGAATGTAATGTGAATAAGAAGCTAAAAAAATTAAAGGAGTTTTTGTTTGTTTTCGGCTGTGTCGGATCTTTGTTGCAGTGAGTGGGCTTCTCTCTAGTTGCTACATGTGGGCTTCTCTCTAGTTGTGGCATGTGGGCTCCAGGGCACGTGGGCTCTGTAGTTTGTGGCACGCAGGCTCTCCTGTTGAGGCGCACAAGATCAGTAGTTGCTTAGTTGCCCCGCGGCATGTGGGATCTTAGTTCCCCGACCAGAGATCGAACCCACGTCCTCTGCATTGGAAGGTGGATTCTTCTCCACTGGACCACCAGGGAAGTCCCTTAAAGGAGTATTTTAAATGAGCAAGAAAAAAAGATAATAAAAGAAAAAAAAGTAGATTTGTAAAAAGAATGAAATAGAACTTCTAGAAGTGAAAGCTATAACCAACTGAATAACTCCCTGAAATTGGTCACATATATACACAGAAGGATGTTTAGGAGACTTAGAAAAGAAAAT